CAATTTTCTAAAATTCATTTATTTGGCCAAAAATTAAAAAATAAAATAGGAATATGTTGTATTAATTTTTTAAAACAATAATAAATCTATAAATGTTATTATACAAATCGAAAAGTAGATTATGTAACAATATATTTTCAGACTTTATTGAAACTTATCTATATTTCAATTATCAAAACATTTTTTTTGTAATTGTGTTATATTTCCATTGTAATGTATATTTATTTTTTCAGTTTTATGTTCTTTCCAATATGGTTTATTTGGAGACTTTTATGTTTAGTTAATAGGTTCTTCTAAAAATGGGTTTCACATATTTATTTTCCATCTATATGCTCATTGAATTTTTGGGTACCTTAAGTACTTTTTATTACTTTTTGGTTGCTTGAGTTTTTTTTTTTTTTTTTTTTGTTTTTTTTTTCGTTGATCAGTACAGTAACTACTTCCTAATAATACTTCTAGGTTCCATGAGTTATTTTTGAATTTCTTCTCTTGTTCTAGAATACCTTTAAAATTTGTAGTCTAGGCATTAGAGAAGATTTTCGTATCCTCCGGAATTTGAGGGCTTAATGGAAATGGTCAAATTGATCAAAAATATTAAAAAAACTGCTAGTTACTTGAACTTTTTACAAAATAAGAAAAATAACAGTTGATCCTATGGTGTTTTCAAACATCAGCAATATGCAAATATCAAATTCATATACTGTCACAAATGAAAACACGTTATGGATGTCAATTATTAACCATGTATTGACATAAATAAAAAACTAAATAATTATTTAATTAAAGCTTCTATAAGGAAATAAAAGTTGAAATCTTTGAAAGGCTTGATCGAGAAAATTAATGTTAACCATGTGAGAAACCATAAAGCTTCATAAAGATGCACCATCCATATGAAATTAACATGAAACCAAAAAACAATAGTCCAAACAGCACATCATGTTTAGTAGAAACAAAACTCTTGTAGAAATTTTACAATTTCAAATAGGTGGGAGTATTGCACATTAACCTGAATTAGATATGAAAAAATATATAGACACTACAACCCAACACTAATTAATACAAATCAATGCCAAATGAATATCAAGTCACTTTCATGAAGTTAACATCCAAATTTACATTGCAAACCCTCTGCTTCCTAAATTAAAATCAAAAAACATATTGCACCTACACGTTAGAGGGTAATGCAAGACATAGCAATGTAGTTCCAATTAGTTTCCTATTAAGACATTTTACTCTTAAAATCTACCTAATAGTATTATAATATCATTTTTTTTATTATAAGAACTATTTTAAATTCAGCCAAAAGATACGATTTTCTATGTTTATATTAATTTGAGCCCCTCTTCATTTACATTATAAAAAATATACGAATCCAACGGAGCACTGAAATTCTCTATTATAGCCTATTTAGAGTATGTTGCTAAAACATGTGTATTTTTGAACAGTCACAAGCCCCATCACATTATTCTTGAGATTATTTATTCCGGTTTATAGGAAACAACATAAACTATAAATACATAAACAAAACCAAGTATAAAGTTGCCACCAAATGTTTATATGAGAAAAAAGAATTAAGATCCATATTAAAAGAGTTATATGTAGACCGGTACTTGTTCCTTGTTCTAGCATATGAAGCCCTTTTAGCACTTCAACTTCTTATTTAACTACAATAATCAAACCGGAGGTTTATAGGCTGATCTTGACAGATGAGAAAGAAACCAAAATTAGAAACGAAAGTTGGTTGGAAAAAGATTAAAACATATATGTGAACCAAAAACCAAATACTATGAACAATGCTACTTATAATTTCATCATTAAATAACTGAATATACATTTGTAACATGACTTTGATGATCTTAAAAATCAAAACTCATGTGAACCGGATTCAAAAATACAAAAAGATAAGGTTGCGTTTAGTTACGGAAAAACAATTTTCATTTTCCGTTTTTTGTTTTTCGTTTTCCCTTTTCAATTTTCGTTTTCTGTTTTCATTTTTCATTGGAAAATTTAGAAAACGCGTTTAGTTAAAACTTATTCATTTTTCATTTTCCGTATTAGAAAATTAGAAAATGTGTTTAGATGTGTATTTTTCTATCGGTTTTCATTTTTAGAAAACGATAGTGGTGGTAGAGTGGACATGGGGGTGGTGGTGGTGGTGGGGGCAGCGGCGGGGGGCAGTGGTGGTGTCGATGATGGCGACGGTGGTGGTGGTGGCGGCGGTGGCAGCGGGGTGGCGGTGCTGGTGGTGATGACATGCGGCGGTGGCGACGACAATTGTGGAAGTGGTAGTGATGGAGGCGGCGGTGGTGGTGGTGCTGGTGAAGGGGTAGTGGTGATGGTGATGTTGATGGTTATGGTGATTGTAGTAGTGGTGTTGCGTGTGTGTGTGTGCATGTTTGTGTGTGTGTGTATGTGTGTGTGTGTGTGTGTTTGTGGGGGTGGGTGTGGGTGTGAGTTTGTGGGGGTGTGTGTGTTTGTGGGGGTGGGTGTGGGTGTGAGTTTGTGGGGGTGTGTGTGTTTGTGTGTGTGTTTGTTTGTGGGGGTGTAGGTGTGTGTGTGTGTTTGTAGGGGTTGGTGTGTGTGTGTGTATGTGTGTGTTTGTGGGGACGGGTGTGTGGGGGTTGGTGTATGTGTGTGTGTGTGTGTGTGTATTTGTAGGGGTTGGTGTGTGTATGTAGGTGTGTGTGTGTGTGTTTGTGGGGATGGGTGTGTGGGGGTTGGTGTGTGTGTATGTGGGTGTGTGTTTGTGTGTGTGGGGGGGGGGTGGGTGGGGTGTTAAGGCGGTGGTAGGTAAAGGTGGGTGGGGTGGGATTGGGTGTGCGTTTATATTTTAGAATTAGAAAAATATGGAAAACAATGATTATCGGTTTTCTAAAAATTTCCAACTTCTTTGTAATTTTAGAAAACGGAAAATTTTCATTTTCCGTGAAAAATTTAGAAAAATAGACGAACTAAACGCATTTTCAAAATTCTCATTTTTCTTGGAAAATTTTTCTGGAAAACGGTCCATTTTTCCGCAACTAAACGCACCCTAAGTGTTTTGATACCAATTATTACATGGATCTGTGCCACCCCTGATAAAAAACCAAACCAAAATGGAGAAAAAACAAGAAAGTTGAATCCGCTTCTTCAAATAGATTTGTTAAGAAGAAAAAAACCAAATCTTCTTCTTCAATGTATCCATAAGAAGAATAAATTCGAGGAAGAAAGCTTAAGAAATGCTAGCTTCTTCCGATGAGACTTTCAATGGTTCTCTTTCACTCTTAGAGGTTGGGTGCTCTGAAAAAACATACAACAATGGAAGGCATAAATACGTCTTTTCACCCAATAGCGATTCTGATTCGGATTTGTTGTGAAGGAAATTCGAAAATTGGGAAAAAACCAAACGGCAAGAGGAATTTGTGATTTTAAAACAGATAAGGGAATGTGAGTTTTAACAAATGAATCGAACCCATGGTGAGCTTCCTACCAATGACAATTAAGGGACCTGCAAACAAAAATGACTGATACATGAACATATTATTTCTACATTTTTAATTAATTATACGTCATATAAATATAAAAGCAATGCAAATAACAACAGATGAAATTAACTTTTATCACTTCAAAAGGCTTCATAAAACCCAAAGGTAAAACAAAATCTTTGATTACATTTTTTTGGCAAGAAGCATATCATATGGTCATGTTGAAAATAATGTCTTTCTTTTTAAGCATATTTGCATAAGATCATACATTTTCGGTTGGAAAGTTCAATATCATTTTATTTGTATGAACAACAATTCCATCCCTGAAAAATCCCCAAGAAATTCAGAAAATCCATCACTATAATGCATGTATATATAAATTCAAAGTTGAGAAGTTTCTACAACTTAAAATTCAGTATCAGGCAAAAAAAAACATTCAAAGTCGGTGTCCAATTGGAATTTTGAATCAAGTAACATCAAAAAACTCATTTTAGGATACCCCAATAGTAGATTCCATCGTCTTTTCTATAGGCTTGAAGATATTCATCATCATTAAATAAGCAACTGAAAGTCAAGATAACAAACAAAACAGGGGAAAAGATTATACGAAAAATCGGCAACACGTTTGCAAATTCCAAAAAGTTCCAACACCGATGTATATGAAACCCTAAACAAAAGGCCTAATAAAAAGGGTGGCGATTTACCTCTGCGTGAGACCTTATACACCAGACCTAAAATTTGGCGGTTGAGTCTTTTCCAGTAAATATGACTAAGTTGCTACCAATAAGTGTCGTCGATTGACTTCTATCTGAGACCTGCAAAACCATCAAGAAATGAACATATGCTTATTTATTAAGACTAATATGTTCAGGATATTATACGATCACCACACGACCATGAAATTGATTAGATTTTCTATCAAAATCCATATGTTTGAACTTCTTTTTCCATCTCTTTGACTACTTGTTTTCTGAATACAGCTACAAAAATAGTTAAAACCAAAATGCATATCAGACTAATACGTATTTTAGGAAGATAATAGAAAGGTAGAGCTTAAATCTACCAAGTAAAGAGGTAGTTTCAATCAAATGGTAAGCAGCATAAGCACAGGTTCCATCCAAATTTATCCTACATGAAAAGAACCATAAATAAACAGATCTGAGGCTAGAGAGATAAAGGAGGGTTAACTTATTATTATAATATCAAAATTTTTGAGTAAACGGAGTGTGCTAGCAGAACATTTAAACGATTACACTCAGTAGTCTCAACTTGAACATGAAGTTTTGAACAAATTTTAATTTACAAGCAACCAAAATGAATATAGTCCCAAACAATGAATTATAGTCTAATTCCATTCCAGTGGTAACATCCGATTACATGGATTGAAGGCGATGAAAGCATTCAAAGTTAGGGTTATGATTTTCTAATTCGTAAAAGTGAGAAAACGAACCTCTAAAAGTGAGCCTGATATGGACAGAATGAAGATGACAAAGATGTTGGCGGCGATTGGTGATTGAAGGGGGGCGACGATGGGGGATGTGTGTCTATTATTACAACCCAAAAAGGGTAACTGTAGCTGGTGGTGGTGATGTGGCGCGCAGTGATCTTGGCAGCGACAAAGGATGCATAACTGCAGATGGTGACGACATGTCAACCATATGTGATGAGGGAAGGGTGGAGGAGATGCTTGGCAGTGGCTTTATATTGAAAGGGAGGCATCTGTGATAGGAGGGAGCGAACGATTGGGAACATGCCGAGATTTAAGAATGTAAACTTCAAAATTTTAAAATTGAACGTGTGATTCAAAGATAATGCCGAGCCAAAGGGAGTTGATTAGGTTAAAATTTTAATATTATTTTATTGGTGGTTAGTTGTACAATAAGCTTAATAGTTTGAACGTCTTAAAAAAATAATATTATTATATTCAATCTTATTATAGAAATAATAAGATTTCTTTTATATATATATATATATATATATATATATATATATATATATATATATATATATATATATAGCTAGGTTCATTTGTTTAAAGTAATTATTGTGTTATTGTATGCATAAATGTGGGTCAATCAAATTTTAAAATAAAAAATAAATAATTAAATTAATAAATAAGGGTAAATAGGTAATTTGATAATTAGTTTCCACAAATAATATCCTATAATTATGGTAATTTGATATTAATCACGTATATTTATAGATGATAATTTTAGGGTTTCAATTTTCCAATTGGCTTCTACCCAGAGCCAAGATCAAAATCCCGATTTCTCGATTGGTCACTCCAATTCGTGACCAACACCTCAGATTGGTCACAACAATTGACACAAGAAACTGAACCAGTAGATGAAGAAGATGCAATTAACGAAGAAGAAGAAGAGGAAGCAGAATCATATTCAGAACCACCTGAAGAGGCAAAGCTTTTTGTCGGTAACTTACCCTACGATTTTGACAGCGAGAAATTGGCTAATCTCTTCAATTCTGCCGGAGTAGTAGATATCGTCGAGGTATTAATCGATTGACTTTTCAGTAATTTCTTAATTAATTTCATATGTTGCATCGTGTGTTTACAATGGCCGATTTGATGTCTGGTTTTAGGTTATATACAACAGGGATACAAAACAAAGTAGAGGATTTGGGTTTGTGACAATGAGCACAGTAGAAGAAGCTGAGAAAGCTGTGGAGAAGTTCAATGGCTATGTAAACTTAATCTTCTTCTCCATCTATCCATCTTAATTACTACATATTCACATTAATCTGTAATATTGTTATGAACAAAAACAGGATTTGAGTGGAAGGGCTCTTACTGTAAATAAGGCTGCACCAAGAGGTTCACAACCAGAAAAACGATTGGTGGGGACTTCTTTCAAGATCTACGTGGGTAACCTAGCATGGCAGGTGGATAGTGAACGTCTGGAGCAGGCGTTTAATGAACATGGGAAAGTGGTCGATGCAAGGGTGATTTATGATCGTGAAAGTGGAAAATCACGTGGGTTTTTGTCAGCTTAGTGACATTCGTCTCTGTTACTGTTTTATTTTAATTACTTCAAACTTATATTTTCCACATTTCAGATCAGTATCTACATGATAATCTGTAAGATAACATGAATGTTTTTTCATGAATCCATTAAGATTAATTCAATTTCTCATAAGTTGAAAGCTTTACCATACATATAGTTGAAGTTCCAAGATTTTGATTTTTGTTCAAGTTCTTGTTTTCATACATTGCAACTGCAACAAGACTACAACCCTTCATTCATCTCTAGTTTCTTGAACTCTTGGTAACTTGAATTTGTTTCTTCATTCATCTCTAGTTTCTTTAATTTGTTTCATTCTTTTTGATTTAACACTTCATTTATGTGGACAGTGCAGGATCTTGACAAGGTTGAATTCTGAAAAGGTATCAAGTTTGTTTTTGTAGATGACTCAATGGTTGATATTGGTGAGATTCTAACTATATTGGAATGGAATCACGAATTCTAATTCTGTTGGAATCATAGAAGTTGATGCTTGAAGAACGGACCACAAAATTGAAACGGACCACATTATTCTTTTAGAATGTATTAGTCGTTGTTAGATTTTGATGTAATTCTTAACAATTGTTACCCGTATTCTATAAGAAATAATGTATTTTTTGTTTTTATTCTTCAATTGATTGTTCAAGGATTTGGTATTCCACAAGAAGTTTTTAAATTCATGATAAAGAAATAGGTTCAAGAATATTTTTATTATTTATGGTTCAAGAATATTTTTATTTTTGAATATACTCATAAACATATTCTGTCAGATTGTCCGAATTAAAAAAATTATAATATGTAAAATCGGATTTTTAAAATTAATAGAATCTATGATCCCTTAAAAAATGCAATTTTCCTTTATTAAATCTATATAATTGACTAAATTACCCTTGTAATTAATTAAGATGATATTTTCAATTATATTTAATTCAATAATATATATTAATCACTTTCTTAAAATAAGTAAATTTGATTGGCCCACATTTCTGCATACAATAACCTACGCCTATATATATATATATATATAATATATATATATATATATATATATATAATGAAGATAAAGTTAAAAAATCATATGCTGTAATTATTTATAAGCTACAAGGACCAAATTTGGACTTTAAATACAATTTTAGGATCGATTTCTTACTCTAAACTCTTATCTCAATGCTACTAGACCAAGTTGCTTAATCCAGGGTTATAGATACACATACCCACCTGATCAAAATGTGATTGCAGAACGATCCAAAACATAGGAATCATTTAGTTAATTTTTATTCAAAGTGTCGGGTTTTTTGGACTGCACGCAAGTTGCACGATGAAAGTCCTGAACAAGATTTAGTTGTTTGGCCTGCTTTAATATCAGGGTATACCCAGAATAGTCTCATTTAAGAAGCGCTTTTGGCTTTTACAAAGATGCACATATTGGGTATTAGGTGTAATGAGCACATTCCCTAGTGTCCTCAAAGCTTGCTCCATGAAGAAGGATATCATTAGAGGGAAACACATACATGAAATTGTGGTGGTGACTGGTTTGAAAATGATGTTTGTGTTTCCAACACTAGTAAAGATTTGGATCTTGATTCATATAAAGTTCTAATATAGTCTCTATGTATATACCATAATTGCAGCCTCAACACAACTTTCATCATTCAACTTTGCTCCGAAGTCTGATGGAAATGTTGCGAACTCAAGCATTGGAGTAAAGGAATACACGGAGCCATAGGTAAGTTAAATACATTAATTTCATATTTCTGGTTTCCATTATTATTACTTTGAAAACTATTTTCTTCTTAATATGTCCTTTTATACTTCAGGGTTATTACAAGTACTATCCTGTTACTGTACCTGTAAGGATGCCATCATGAAATCCATGTATGTTTTAAATATAGCTGCTTTATATATAATACATTTGTGATTTGACATAACTCTTAATGCAAATAATTGTATATTTGTGATTTTACTAATTTACCCCTATGTGTCTTTATATATTTTAAATGCTTTTTTTTTCTTTAGGTCGAGGCCCTTTTTATGGATCTACCAGATCGTTACATCCCAGAAAAGGTGCACAAAGTGTTTCACGTGATCTATATACCCCGAATTACATAAATACCCTTTAGTAATGACAAGAGTGGAAGTTAATGGTAACGATGAGAATGGTAATTTTAGTTTGAAATCATTGTTTTAGGGAGGCAATGTTGGCCATTTGCATAAGCTACTGAGTGTGGAATCAAGTTCACAGGTTTTGTAACTTTATTTATCACCATTTTTTTTACAATCTACATTGATATTTTTGTGGAGCAGAATTAATTAATTTTAATTTAGTACTTCTTCGAGCAAAGTTGATGCGATTGTTTCAATTTTGTTCGGTTCTATATGTTGGAGATCATCTATATGGCGATACTTTACGCTAAGAAAAGCAATAGGTATAACTCTTTTGATGGGTTTCGAGCAATACATCAATCCTATGGTATACATGCAAACCCTAATAGCTTTTGGATCTAGTTTTTCTAATGAACATGCAATTGATAATCCAAAGCCATAAACCCTAGATCTAATAAACTATAACTGAAATTAGGGTTTAGATCTTACCTTTGATTGTTATATAGCAATAACAATCAATCCTTGGCTTCAGAAAGCTTAGTGCCTCAAGTGTTGCACCTCTAATGCAGTTACAAACACCACTAAGCAACTTGGATGAAGAGGGAGGAGAGAGGAGGCACCAAATACGGCTGGAAACCCTAAAGGATTAGTTCACCACGTTTTTGGGGCATAGGGGGCCTTTATATACATGTAGGCTATTAGGGTTTTCAACTAGGAAACCCTAATCTGACTGCTTAAGCCCTAAGCAGCCCATGGACTCCTTTAACATATCCCTTGGACGAATTCCTTATGGGCTTCCCATATAATTCGTCCAACCTATATATTATTAGGTGATCCATAGCCCAATTGTAATTATCTTATAAAATACAACTCCAGTCCCCTAAGTTTAATTAATCTCTTTTAGCCACAAAATTAAATCTTAATTAATTCTTGACTAATGTTAATTAAACAATATGATTTCTCCTTTAATATATTATTCTCATAATATATTAATAAATTATAATTAAACCTTTCTCTCCTTAATTCATCCTACATATTGCTATGGTGAAGGCAACCCAAAAGGACCATGCTCATAATCGGGTCAAGTACATACCAAAATAGTTATGGACTTAGACACTAATCCAACAGTCTCCTACTTGGATAAGTCTAATAACTATTTTGCATAACTTTCAGAACCTGATCAGCAATCGTAGCTTTCAAAAGCCGCTGTCACCTCTGATCTTATCAGATACGCGTGTCCTTTAGATAAGGGATCATATATTCCTCCATTCTACAAGATATCGTATAGACATAACACATGAATTTTAATCATTCTCTGTATATTGTTTCCCGACTTCCGATTTATGACGACTGACAACAGACTACAATTGAACACATCAACTTAGTCCCGACTTGGCCAAGCGCTTAGGGTGTCATCACTAAATCATCGAGAGGCCCACAAATATCGCTTTTATCCCACTTTGGTAAAAGGAATGGATAAACTTCGACTCAAATGCTCGCTTGCATTTACTGATCGAATCACACACAATAATAAGTTTTATGACACCAAGTTACTGGTGCGTTTTCTTAGTATCAATGTGCAACCGACCAACAGGATAACAACTCACACGTCTCGGTTTCAAGAATATACAATGTTATCGTCTCACAATTACTTATGATAAAAACCATGAAGTGATTCAAGTGAGCGTGGGTTTAATCCAATACTTTAATCTTATCAAAGCACTCATGAACTCTACAACAAACTTGTGCTATGTCTAAACACTTTAGACAATCTACAGACAAATTCATGACAGTCTTCCTTCATACCTACTTCCAACGTATGACCGACTGTGGAGGTTCGAATAACCCAGTTATTCTGGAAGTCAAAACATGCAAAGTGAAACGCAATAATAATATTAATCCTATATGGCCCCAAAACTTTTGAGCGTAAATAAAAACACTTTTATTTAAACACCATATTGATTACTCATTATTCATTGCTTACTGTTTCAGAAAATCAACTTATTACTCGAATTATAACCACAATTGTCCCATGCTCCAAGCATGCACACTTTGGTTTCCTATGGTCCATTCTTTGTGAAATAGATCAATTGAAAACTTTTCCAATGAAACTCATTTCACAATCCCCAATCCTTATTATTAGTATAAGAATACCAAATTCTTGCCACTTTTAGAATATGTCAGATTCTAACATTTTATGCAATGATTCTTTCGTAATGTCATAGCACAAAAGTCACCAAGACCCGACTAATGAAATTACAAGGTAGTCTATCGGAAATTGTTACAAGACAATTCCATAGACGTGAAGGCTCACATTCAAAGTATATTCCTTTGAACATCCTTCTCGCATAAAAGTTTCTAATCTAGACATATTTCTTAATATCCAACTCCCATTAATGGAAACATTTCCATATTTGCCATATGACAACTCATTCTTAATAGAATCTTATCTATTCATAATAATGTCAATATAGTCCATCCAGTACTATACTTCCAACTACTCACAAGCGACAAATCCTCAGTGAACCTCAGATCGTCCTTTGATAGTTGTTTAATTATTTTAGTCAAAACCGATTCTAGTCCCTTTTTCCCTCTTAATGCCCTAGGCATTTTGAAAATTTTAGAATGGTCAAATATTCTAGCATATGCAATCGATCCTATACTCGAAGCGTATTGGACATGATGCATAATGTCTCACATAAAGACGTGATACTTTATCATCCTTCTGCCATAATATTTTATGTGCCATGTTCCCACTATTCGAACTATGAAGAGGGATGCCGTAATCATAATCGAATATTGAGAATGCACTATGTATCCTTGACTAAATTTATTAACATTTCTCGATCTAAGCTTTAGAATTTTGAAACGAAGTATAATATTCTCTCC